TTATTCATAGATGCCTATACTGATAGTATGACCCTTCTTATGGCTTTTGTAAAAAAAAGAAAAAAGATTTGAAGATGGAGCTACAAGCTGTACTAGTGAAAGCGTGAGTGAGTGTTGATGCTGGTTCTGAATTATAACAGCCAAAGAGCATCTCAAAGCAACATGTTCTTTTTCTTCTTGTCTCTAACTTAAAAGAGGGATTTATTTTTCCACACTTGGTAAAAAGAACGCTTAGAGTCTTCGACCCAGAGCTCCAAGCTGTAACCCAGAGTGTGTTTTTAGAATTGACTTATCAGCCTCAGAAGGCTACTGAAAAAGGTCTTTGTGGTTTGCAATGTCCTATTTTTTTTTCCTTGAATTACTTTGGATCTGATTTGGATAGTTAAAATTTTTAGCATGAGATTTTGCATATGGGTTGGGCACTGCTTTGAAACTTCTTCTACCATGCATATTTCATGACTGGTATCCTCAGACCCCAAAACCTCCCTGGACAAAAAAATCCTGTACCTATATGACTTTCTTGTTAAACTGGAGATAGACAAATTAAAGGAACTGTCCCTTAATTTAATGAGAAACACTTTTAAAAAGAAAACTTGGCATAATTGAAAATGGCATTGAACAACAAAATACTAATAAAGGAAAAAAGATTTAATTTTTAACTCTGAACTTTTTAATGAGAATATTTTGAAAGAATGACTTTAAAAACTGCAATTTAAAAAAATCACCTCATGTTGGAAGACATGGTGGACCCATACATTTTTTTCTTGATGTGGGAGACTGAGTGAACTCATAAAATGTGTTAAACACAGTTAGGAGAATCCTGTTACTTTAGCTTGTGATGATGGTGCTAACTGCAGAGGAGTGTTGCTCTTGTGGCTGACCCACACGGGCCTGGAACAGAAGAATCTGAGGTGTTGACACATGAAAGCTTTTCTTTTAAATGCTGATCCCTGTGTTACTGGTAAGATAACTAATTCATGTCCTGCAACTCTGAGGATATTCAATCCCAGTAAACTCTCCCCCAGTACTATCATAACAGCGAAATAAAAAGACTAACACGACTAACTCCATTTTAGACTGGGGGAGGAGGTGCTCTGGCTTCTGTTCTTGTTTGCATGTAACTAGAATAATTTTGAAACACTGCAAAGATACCTTAGGAACAAGTAGGCAACTTTCCAGACTAAATCTGTGTCAAAGAGGTATGTGCACATGAACCGTATTTTGTCAAAGATTCCAAGGAACCAGAAGACCAAAGATTCCAAGGACAAAGAGATTCACAACTTTTTTTTGATCCCTCCTGGTGTCCAGATGCCTGCAGTTTTCAGCCCCCTCCTTATCTGGGATCCCTTTCCCTACACCTAGATAAAAACCAAACAAAGCAACGCAACTTAAGAAGGTTCTTTGCAGCAACAAGGATGAGCTGGAGAACATCATCCTTAGTGAACTGACTCAGAAAGTCAAACGCTACATGTTCTCACTTGTATGTGGGAGTTCAATAAAAAGTGGGGGAGCTAAGGTTCAGAAATTACCGATTGGATACAATGTTCATTATCTGAGGAATGGGCCTCTTGAGATCCAATCCCCACCCCATCAGCACCGAGTCACATCTCTTCTGCTTGGCTCCTTACACCCCGGGATATTTCTTGTTTCCCTGCTGTCTCTTTCAACATCACTGTTCTCCTCCTAGTGCTATCTCATGAACCATTTTCTACTTATAGTTTCTCATACTTCCTTCACTCTGTTTTATGGCTAGAGTGTTGAATATTCTGTTTCTGTGTGAATAGATTTGCCTTCCTTTTCTTCTGGGCAACTCCTCATCACTCAGAATCCAACTCAACAATACTACCTCCTCCAGGAAGTTTTTTTAAAAATCTGGGCCAAGTGTCTTCCTAAGACCACACATCCCAGTATCATAACTGGCATGATTTATACACGTGTATTTCAGTCTCATCCAGAGGTGAGCACCTCATGATGTTTTTTCACCCTCATTGCAGCAGGGGCTCACTAGACCAGGCAATGAGAAATCCACCTCTGGATTGACCTTTTGGTGTTGTGAAATACATTTGGTCTTAAGTTCTTAGATTCTCTAAAGTTCCATGTTGTTGTATGCTAATGTTGACTAGAGCTTCAGGATAGGCTTGTCAGAGAAAAGAGGAAGGCAGGATTAGAGGGTTGAGACCTTCAGCCCTACCTCCTGAACTCTGGGTGGGGGTGAGGTGGAGTGGGGTGGAAAGAGGGTGAAGGTCGAGTTGGTCACCAATGGTCAATGGTTTAATCAATTCTGCCTGTGTAATGAAGCCTCCATAAAAACTCATAGACCAGCATTCTGGGAGATTCCACATAGCTGAGTAGGTGGAACATCCAGGGAGGACTTGGAAACTTTGTACCTTCCCCCCAATACCTCACCCTATGTGTCTTTCATAGCCTTTGCAATGCACTTTACAATAAACCAGTGAAGGTAAGTGTTTTCCTGAGTCCTGTGAGCTATTCCAGCAAATTAATCAAACCGAAAGTAGGGGCCATGGAAACCCCAATTTGAAGTTGATTGGTGGCAGCTCCAGAGGCCTAGACTTGACTGGTGTCGAGGGCAGGGAATGTCTTGGGGACTGATCCCTCAACCCATGGGATCTGACGCTCTTTTCAGGAAGATAGCACCAGAATTAGATTGAACAAGAGGACACCTAGCTGGTGTCTGCTGCTTGGTGTCTGGGGAAAAAAATAAACCCATGCTTGGTCACAGAAGTATTCTGTGTCAATGATTATTGTGGTGAGAGAATTGAGTTTTTCCAAAACAGCACACCTTGCTAGTGGGAAGCTTGGTGCTTCTGAAGTAGGGTTCTCAACAAGATTGACTGTAAACAGGCTAATTTTCCTTATAGTTTTTAATCTTTTCACCCTTTTCCAGTTTTCAACACACATTGGCTATAATTTCCTTTTACATTTTCCTTCTTGGAATTCCAAGGATCTGGGGGTTTGATGAAAAGTATTTCTGGGAGACATGCTTGTGTATGATTTCCTGTCTCCACGTTCACACCATGACTGCATGGTATGAGATGAAGACAAAATATCAACTAGCTTAAAACCCTGGCTTATTCATGGTAGCGTTATTTTCAAAACTGAAACACGGTAGCAGCTCCACTGTCCATTGAGGGATAAATGAGTAAGCAAAATATGGTCTATACCAGGGGTTCTCAAACTGCGGCCTGTGGGCCGCATGCGGCCCGCCGAGGACATTTATCCGGCCCGCCAGGTGTTTTTGACGCCTTAACTTGTTACGACTAGCAGTGACAAATATGGAACCGGACATTGACCATCTCATTAGCCAACAGCAGGCCCATAGTTCCCACTGAAATACTGGTAAGTTTGATGAGTTAACTTTACTTGTTCTTCATTTTAAATATTGTATTTGTTCTCGTTTTGTTTTTTCACTTCAAAATGAGATATGTGCAGTGTGCATAGGAATTTGTTCATAGTTTTTTTTTTTTAAACTATAGTCCGCCCCTCCAACGGTCTGAGGGACAGTGAACTGGCCCCCTGTTTTAAAAGTTTGAGGACCCCTGGTCTATACAAACTATGGAATGTTATGCAGCCTTTACAAAAGAGGAAATTCTCACATATGCACGACATGAAGGAACCTCAAGGACATTATGTAAATGAAACTTGTCACTCACAAAAGGACAAACACTGATTCCGCATATATGAGGTCTCTAGAGTAGTCAATTCATGGAGACAGGAAGTAAAATGACAGTTGAAAGTGGCCAGAGTTGGGAAAAAGGAGGAGTTACTGCATAAGGGAGGCAGAGTTTTGGTTGGATGGTGTGATGGTTGCCCAACAATGTAAACATGCTTAAGGCCACTGAACTGTGCATTTAAAATGGGAAATTTTATGTTAGTGTATTTTGCCACAATAAACAACTAAACTCTGGTTTGGACTCTTCCAGATCAGCTTGACACAGTTGTTTGTGGCCAAGTCTTCAGGTAGATTTTGAGGAGGTTGGCCAGGACTGCAATTTTGCTAAGAAAAGTGTTAAAACCCTGTTTCCCACAGGCCTTTGCCAGCATGCCCCATTATTTATGTGAGAGTTACCATTGTTTTGCAGGCAGTTTCTTCTTTACTTTACTGTCTTTGAATAATCTTGAAAGGGGCACTCGCTTGCAGTGTCTTTCAATCTAGCATTCTATTTTCTTGGAGATTTCTTACATCAGGTGGAAGAGCATGACATTTCTCTTACTCCTTGTTACTCTCTAGCTCTGATTATGTCACAATTAGATGTGACTGCACTGCTTGAATGGAGTCCAAATTTAGGCATAATGCTAAATTTTTTGAGCCTGTAGTACTTTTGCATGAGGTTTAGTCTTGACTGGCTTATCACTGAGTTCTGTTTTGAAACTAAACATTAATACTGGTACATCTAAAAAATGTCACTATATACAACTAAGTAACCATAAGAATTGACTTTAAAGTACATGTAATGTTAATTAAAACATTGTTTACAATGCTTTTTCAAAACATAAGAAAATATCTCAGGGGAGTATAACTGAGTATATATATCCTTGAAAGGAACACATTTTACCCTAAGAGTAATGGCATCAAATGTTGGGTTTAGGAGATTAGAGTGGAATTGAGTTATGCTTTGTGAGGAATTCAGCAAAAGAGATAAGTTAGTGCTGACAAGGAAGATAAAAATCATCAGGAAGTTATTCCTTGTGCAGTTTAACAAGTGGAGAAGTCAGTCTGGCACTGTCTGGCAGGGATGATGCAAAGTTTACTCTGTGTGTTTTATTTTAAAGAGCACACGGAATTGACCTGTCTGATGTTTAAAATATCGATTGACATGCTGCATTATAGAATTGGGGTACTTTTGTAAACTGTTTCTGAGAAACTAAAACATTTATTTCTAGAGATTTTCCATAAACCTATTGTCTGTGTAACTGTGATGCTTGGTGACAATGGATACCTTGCTCTCCAGTTTTGATGGTTTATAAACTCTCTCCTGTAGGTGTTTCCTGTGGTAACACATGGGTACCAGGTACCACCTTCTCCGCCAAGGTATCACCTGGGAAAGCAGACCTACTTTGTGAAAAATGTCAAGTGACTTCTTTGAACAGCCTTGTCTGCAGGAGACATTTAATTCAGAAGTTAGTTGAACCTCGCTCACTCTTCAAAGAATATTGATCAACTTAGCAAAGTGTAAGCTGACCAAGTGTTCTTAGCCCAGAGTCTAAAAGAGTTGGTGGGAAAAGTCTACCCCAACCCTTCCCCAAAAATCTCCTTTGAGGCTTAATTTTGAATTTTGTGATGTTAAATTTGATTGTGAAATAAACCTTAGAATGTCTTTATTAGTTCATTCAACATAGTGCTCCTCCTGCATTTAAGATTTTGAACTCAAAGTATATTTTAAACTTTTGCTTTATTAACAAAAATCTTCTAGAACTACCTTTTGCACTTTTTCTAGATTTAAAACTTTTCCATTGCTTAATTTGTATTTTTACATGTAGGTTCCCCAATTTTTACGGTGATCACTATTTCCTAGAAGAGCACACTAAACTGAGATTAAAGAAAGCACTTTCAGAAAACAAACAGCCCATTTTACTTATCCCTGCTCTTATTATGCAAATACACTTTATATATCATGATCCTCCTGCACTTTCAGCAACATCACTTACAGCCATAGAATGCCATTGTTCATGAAATGAGAAGTTCTTGACATCAAAAGAACTTAATCAAAACTTGGTAAAGGCAGTAAGGCTGTTGCAACCAACTCACAATGTGCATCTCATTTTTATGTTTTGACATTATTTGAGGAAATTTAAGTTAATGTGACAAGCTCCAACCTGCCTTAGAAGTAAGTAACTACAAAGTGCTTCAGTTTGGTGCCATCTGCCTCATTTCTGGAAGATTATCTTTTTCTAGGAAACTTATACGTTTGTTGACACAGAATGTTTTTCATAATTACACAACTGAAATAATCATTTTTTTTGCATTTGTAATTTCAGTGTTTCTACTATCCAAATTTCAGCTCTGTGAAGGCACATGATCTGATTTATCTTACCTGCACAGGGTTGGCCCATGGTGATGACTTGTGGGTTTGTGTTGAGTGAGTTCATAAAATAAATAGGTTTAAATATCAAAGTCAAATTTGGTGTTTTTGTGTGCTTTTTCTTTAAATACGGTAACAGAAAAGATAAAGATAAAGACATATTAAATAGACTGTAACAATAGTCTACTGTAATTTCCCCTTCCTGTACGGCCATTTTCAACTTGTTTAACATCCATTTAAATGTACCTTTTCTTTTGAAACTGTGCTGAGAGTGATGGTGTGCTTGGCTAGATGATCCTCTTACAATGATTAATAGGATGTTGTATACCTGCAAAAACCTGAGGTATACAAAGAGTTGACACAGAGTTCTTGTCCTGAAAGAGTGGTCCTACATTAGATAGCCATCTTAACACATAATTATGTTCACACATTTACTTAACACCAAAAGCGATCAGGAAATATTTGCTGAAATGAAAAGGAAATGGTATAAAATTACACATAACACAACTGACAGTTGTATATTTTATTAAAAATTACCTAGGCTATGTGAAGACTTAAGATGGGGTAAAAGCAGACATCATGTGAGACTTGCCATCTGATGAGAGATGACCTTCACAACATTGAACTGAGAACAGTTGTCTATGTGACCAGTGGACAAAGGCAGATCTCCCTAAATTCATTCTAAGCCTGTTGCAATGTCTTGGAAAATCCACTTCTTATAGAAACTCAGTTTGAAACTATGTGTAAGTATACCATTTTATGTTAAATGAGATTGTGATATTCCCTAAAACAAAGTCTTCAAAATACTAGAGTGCCCCATGTCTAGTCTTTTTAAAATATGGGAAGAAAGTTAAGTTCTATGTTTATGTGTTTTACAAAACAACAAAAATAAAATAAAAGTTCTGAGTATCCCTTCATGGTGATTTAAATGAAGAATTCTGTGAATAACTTGCATGCGTATTTCTTTATCTAATAAAAATCACGATCATTTAAGACATACAGATTATCATTTGCTTGAAAAAGAGCACACATCTGGAGGAAAAAGTGCCCTCAGTAGAAGATGATAGAGTATTTCACAAGCTTGTTTTCAAGACTGCATTTATTCCATGTTTCCATCAGGTGGCACTGTGCGAATATTGATGGTTAGAGAGCTTTCTTCCTTTCAGAGAAAATACAACCAAAAAAAATTTCTAATTCTGACTTTAGTTTCTAAAGCTAAACTTAAAAAAAAAAAAAAGATGTAAAGTTTATTAATATCTTTACAGAAAAAAGATGAAACAGAATACAGCTACTGAATATGGGATAGTTCCTTATTTACAAGCTTTACTATGGGAGGCACATTTTAATCAGCTTTTCAAATAATCAAAGGAGTACAACTTTTTTTCTAGAAATGTCAGGGTTTCACTCTTCAGGTAGAAGATTAATGAAAACATTAAGTGACTGCTCCAGTTAGAAGATAAACTGATACCTTAAAAATATGTTTAAAAGGGTAATTGCTACTTAAAAATAATTTTTTCACAAAATTATTCTTGTGGCTAAATCAGACAGTTTGTTTGCTTAGAAAATCTGGTTTAAAAAAAGAGTATCTTATGAGTATGTCATCATTTAAGTACATGCTTTCCAGTCAGTTTTTTCCAGCTAGTTTGTTCTAAAGCCCTGTTATCTATTTTAGTCATTACACAGTTTGGTGTGCCAGAGAAGTAGACATCAGCCTTAACTCTGATTGCAGGATCCAAAATTCATGGGTCACAGGAACACTGTGGCTTGGGCTGTGGGTCAGTGTGGCCTCCAGAGATTGAAACAGTGAGATTCTGCTTTGGAAAGGATCTTCTCAAAGGGAGACACCAAGAAGGACGATTCAGTGCCTGTCAGATGGGGCTTCAATGAAGTTCTGGAGGAGAAAGAAGAGTTTTTGGTCTCTCCCATATTCACTGGCAGTGGTACTAGTCATTTCACTGAGGCTCTGGCCTGCTGGTTGGGACATGTGGGCAGGGCATTGAGGGCAGGAATCCTGAGCAGCAGCTGTCAGCCAGTAAAGTGGGGCAGCACAGGGAAACATGATCGTGGCATCTGAAGAAAGCACCTGCAACCTCTGCAGCAAGCTGTGGTTTCCAAGGACCCACTCCCAACCTGGATGGAGACCCTGTGCGTGGCTGCTCCTGGGTAAATCCACACAAGGTTGAATGCCCACCTTCCTCAAAGGTGCTGAGTGTGACGAGAGATAATGGAACATCAGGTCGAGGAGACTGTGACCATTAGGAAAACACACATCCAAAACCACCCAATAATTGATTACACTAATGGCATAGCTCAAAAAGATAATAGAATGTGTGCTCATGATAATCTATTACACTGATAACATATCTCAAAGGGATAATAGAGTTTCTGCTTTCAGCTTGTGATGCTTTGGAATTAGCATGATTAATATGGCCCATTATGTATGATCTTAGATGTAGAAAAAAAAAAACCACACACACTATTTTACCTAAAGTTGTAAACTTATAAAAGTAAACAAATTAGAAATAGGAACTTAGTTTCCAGGTCATTTTTAATACTAACTAAAAACTTCAAATGGCTGAAATGTATTTTTTAATACTGGTTCTCTTTTGTGCATATGAAATGATATTGCTTAGATACCTCTTTGGCACTTATTTAAACAATCTATTCATTGCTTAAATATATGTTTCATAATAGGAAACTTATTAAAATAGTTTATTATAGCAATTAGATCTGGAAGAAAAGTAAAAATAATACAGTTTACTTATAGTGTATAGAAATACTAAGAATAAACTCATATTCCTGCAAAGAAAATAGTCAATTTAAAATTCAAGCATTGTATGCACTTGGTTACAGACTTGGGGGAGTCCCTGGAAGTCACAAAAATGGAAGGGCTGACAGGGTTGCCCACTACCCCTCCTGTGGTCATCCCAGACAGATCATATGGGGTATGAGTCAAGGCACCCCAAACCTTAGTGAGAATACTCTCAGGTCATAGCAACCTAGGGAGCAAGTTGGGATTGGGTTAAACCACAGAGCCCTGTTAAGGATCCAGAGTCCTTTTGGAAAGCTACCTGTGCCCTTTCTTGGGTTCTGAGGTCTCTTGGGGGGAGGATTGTCATCCCATGCTGAAATGCGCCATAGACATCCTCATTGTCAACTTGGCAGCTACTGGGCAGATATGTTTAGAAATTCTCATCCTGGACCTTGTCGTGATCTTGGGGTTGGGCTGCAGGATTCTGCAGAGAAGTAAGCAGCTCTAACAGCTGCTCTCTTTTCCATAACCTGTTCATTTGTTTATCCACTGCACACATATTTCGAGATATGGAAAACATAGTGATGAGCTGGAAGGTCCAACACTTTATTATGGTTTGAGCCGCAGCTGAAGGACCACAGATACGTGGCACCTAGTTTCCATCTCCAGACTCACTGACTCAGGATCGACATTTTCATAAGGCCCTGGCCTGTCCACACACACAGCACAGGGTTATCGCCACTTGTCAATCCTCAGTGCCAAAGAAAGGGTAAAATGTCACTTGCACGGTTGCAATTTACTTTGCTTATCTCTTACTGAGGATTAAGAAGGTGACCCCTGACAGCCTGGTGGCCTAGAGGAGTCACATTGCTTATAACTAATTGATCCAGGCAAAGTGAGGACATTGGCAATTAATCACACCTTGAGGTTGCCCTTATCCTTATCCTTCTCCTCTGGTTCCTTTATCTGCTGACCTCTGTCAATTCTGTGGTCCTGAACTCCAACAGAGGGTGGCCAAGATGGAGGAGGGAGCGAGAGGGGCTCGGATCCATCCATGTTACTATTTCCTTGGAAACTCTTGAGAATGGCTGGATGAGTGGAATGATGGGAGGATGCATTCATGGGTGGCTCTGTGGTGACTAGTCTGAGTTGTGTCCTGACAGTGCCACAAAACGGCTGCACAGAGAGGGGAAGCCCAGCAGCTTTGGGGGTGTTGGAAAGAGATCCCGATATCATTGCTAGTGCCTGAAATTGTTAACTGCTTCCTTTTTTGTCTTTTCTCAAACCAATCAGACAAACAATGTTGTGACTGCATCTGTAGAATTAGCTTGAAATGGGGCTCTTGGGATCAACAAGTGCACCCAGAAATACACTTTGAAAAGTCTTGAAAGCTTCTTTAATTAAGGAATTTAATGAAGACTCTATCATGGGCTTCTTGATTCGTCTCTCTTTTCCTCTCTGTTCATTCCTGTTCCTATCAGTGCATAGAGAAGTAGAAGAGCTTCACACCATAGACAAGTAGAAAGGCTTCGCACAAGCATGGCAGAACACTTTGTAATTTTATCTTCATAAAGAGGGGAGGTTCAGACGCTTGAGGCAGGAAGGGCAGCCCCTGAGTCCCCACAGCACAGGGCAGCTGGGCTTACAGGGGAGGGTTCTGGTTCCTGGACATGAGGTCACATGGAAATTGAACTCACTGACCCAGCAGCAGCTCTCTGGCCACCAGTCCATCACTAGGTTTTGGGGGTCTCTCAGTCTTTGTGTTTGTATTATTAGAGGCGGGGTCTTGCTGTGTCATCCAGGTTAGAGTGCAGTGGTATGATCATATCCCCCACCATGTCCTTCTGTGTGACATCAAAGGGGCACAATTTAGTATTACTGGAAACTTGACCAGTAGATCCCTGAGCTTGTCTTTTCTGGCAGGTTAATATGATCATGACAGGCTGGGTTCGGTGGCTCAACCTGTAATCTCAGCACTTTGGAAGGTCAAGATGAGTGGATTGCCTGAGCCTGAGGGTTCGAGACCAGCCCAGGCAACTTAGCGAGACCTCGACTCTACAATAAATTAAAAAATTAGCCACGCATAGTAGCGAGCACTTGTAGTTCCAGCTACTTGGAAGGCTGAGGCAGAAGGATTGCCAGAGCCCAACAGGTTGATGCTGGGGTGGTCCTGAGTGTACCACTGCACTCCAGCCTGGGTGGCAGAGTGACGCTCCTACTCAAAAAACAAAAAAATAATGATCATGGCAGAATGTGATGATGATGACCAGGTGTGGAGGCTCATGCCTGGAACCCCAGTGCTTTGGGAGGCCACGGAGGGAGGATCGTTTGAAGTCAGAAGTTTAATACCGGCTTGGACAATATAGTGAGACTTCATCTCTACAAAAAATTAAAAAGTTAACCTGGCATGGTGGTGCATACCTATAGTCCCAGGTACTCAGGAGGCTGGGAAGGGAGGATCACTCGAGCCCAGGAGGTTGAGGTTGCAGTGAGCTGTGATCAGACCACTGCAGTCCAGCCTAGGCAACTTTATCTGTAAAAATAAACAAAAACATTTTTAAAAAAGAAAGTGATGGTGATATTCAGGACTTATTAATTTAAAGGAACTGTATTTGAAAGGTGAATCTCACAAGTAGGCAGGATTGGAGTGTACTCATACAGACTTAAGACTCATCTGATTCTGAAACTTAGAGAAAAAATGAAGAACAAAACACAACAAAGACAACAAAAACAACCAATCCTCTCTGACAGGATAACAGAAAGAATACTCCAAATTTATTCAAGGCAACAATCTATCTGTTTGTTATTAGGTTGGTGCAAAATTAACTTTGGTTTCAGACTGTGAATTTTATTTTTTTAATTTTAATTTTAAAGATGTAGTGTACAATTCAGGGTTAGGTATACAAATGGTCATTATACAGGCAAAGTGTAGGCCTCACTTGGGTCCCCATTTCTCCTGGTTTGAGATCAGGTACACTTTGTGCCCGCCCC